GTCAATGCATGAAAAAGATTGCGTGCGTGTATCAAAGTGTGTGGGGCGATCTGAATTTAGAATAGTAAGGTCAGCTGTGAAGAGGAAGCGCTCTAGAGATCGGCCTCGGGAGTTGGTAATAGAATCACCCCAAAGAGTGTGGCGGCAGTTAAAGTCGCCCACTATGAGGAAAGGTGGTTGAAGTTGGGAAATTAGATTTTCAAAAGCAACAAAGTCAATGGGGTGGGAAGGGGAGAAGTAGACTGAAATCACTGTGATCCAACGATGAAGGAAGATACGAATAACTGTGCAAGGGACATTGGTTTGAAAGGGTGGTGTGACATAAGGTGTTTTCTGATTGATAAGTATGGACGAGACATAAAGGGAATGTGGGGAAGAGACAAAATGATAATTGGGGATTGGTATTGGAGGATGTGTAAGAAAGGTTTCTTGAAGGCATACAATAGATGGGTTATAAGAGGAAAGGATATGACGAAGGTCAGGTCTGTGGGAGCGGAAACCGCGAATATTCCAATGAAGGATAGTTATACTTTCGTTGATTTAGTGATATAGATTGCAGTACGTGTTGGAGACTTTGAGGGGGAAGCAGCTAGAGGGTGGGATAAGGACTGAGAGGTTTGAAATGGGAGAGATGTGGGAGTTGGTGTTCTATCAGGAGGGGTATTAGGAGATGGAGGGTCTGAGGAAGGGGATACTTGTGACATAAGGGATTCACGTGTGTATCCAGGAGGGAGTGGAAGGGATAGAGAGGATGGTGGGAGGGTTAATGTGGGCGGGGTTGGGGTTGGGGTCGGGGGGGGATGGGCTGTGTTGGGAGGGGGTAGGAGGATAGGGTGTAGGGGGGATATCGTTAGGAGGAGGATGGATATCAGCAATTACTTGGAGTGTGGAAGGAGCAGGAGTTGTAGGTTGAGTGTCAGTTTTCATTAAGTAATCTTGAATATTTTCAATAGTTTCTTCTGTGGAGTTGGTTGGGGAGTTTTGGGGGATAAAGGATTTCTTGTGAGGGGGGGAAGAGAGGACTGGTGTCTCAAGAGTACGGGCAAAGGATGGTGGGGGTGATTGTGTGGTAGGGGAAGAGGGGGTGGAACGTTTGTCCTGTCTGTTACGGGTAGTGCGAGGAGGGAGAGGGGAAGGTGTTGGGGTTGTAGTGGTGATTGGAGTATCTGTAGTAGAGATTGGAGTTTCTGGATTTAGGATGGCAAAAGAGTTTGGCTGGGGAAGGTAGGAGGTAGAAGTGGGGGGGTTAGATGTAGGAGGGGTGGGTTTAGGAGAAGTGTTAGAATGAGCAGTATTACTAGAGTAAGGAGTAAGAGAGAATCCACGTCGACGTGCTTCCTGTCTGGCTTCACGCAGTGTGAGTCCAAGTTTGAATTTGAGAGTTGCTACCTCAGATTCAAATTTGTAGGTGGGACAGCCCCTATAAAATACATTATGGTGGCCGCCACAGTTGGCACATGTGCGTGATTGTGCAGAGCAGTTAGATCGGGTATGGCCAGGTTGGGCACATAATGGGCATCTGGCTGTGGAACGGCAGTGTTTGGCTGGGTGTCCTAGACGCCAACAATTTTGGCACTGACGTGGAGGAGGTTGGTATGGACGAACAGGGAGGGATTCTCCTATGTAGACGTTAAAGGGAAGGTCATGTCTACGGAAGGTAATTTTGGCTATGTTAGTGGGTTTCTTTCGATGACCTCTGGGGGGAATGGAGTAGCATTGTACTGATCGTATCGTACTGTTGCATCGTAGTCTGTGAGACAGGCAAGTAGATCTCCACAATCTGACCAATCTTTGTCATAGATTGGGCAATTTGCTGGGGAGATCGAGACTGTTCCGGTGCAAGTATTGAGGGTTGGATGGGGTTCTGCTAGGATGGGGTTACCATATAGGTCAGTTAGTTTTGTTAATGCTATAGCTTGGTTTTCGGATGTTACCGTGACAAGACGGGAGCGGTCGGGTCGGCTAGGGAAAGAGACTTTACCTACTTGTTTTTGGAGACATTGTTGGAAGAGAAGGGTGTTGTCAAAGTAGGGAGCTGTGGGAGGGATCACGAAAAATCGGTCCCATTTGGCTGCACTGAAGAGAGTATTCAAGATTGTTTTAGAGATAGGGGTGGTAGAAGGGCGAGGGCGTGACGAAGATGGAGTAATGTTGAGGGAGGTAGTGTTATGGAGAGGTGGGCTGTAAGGCTGTAAGGTATTAATAAGGGAGGATGGGGTGGTTGATGTTGGAGGTTGTGGGGGTAGAGGTGTTGAAGTTGGGCATGCAGGGAGAGTGGAAATGTTCCTTGAGGGTTGATTGTTGGCTACTGTACTAGTAGGCATTGGTGAAGGGGTAGTTATTGCAGTGTTCGGAGCCGTGGTCAAAGGAGAGCCTGGGGTCGGGGAATCGGGTGCGTTTACTTCGTTGGGGCTATTTGATAAAGGGGCAAGCCTCATTGCCCCTAACAGTGGGGATATATTTTCATTACTGGCCATGGTAAGCCTGGATTATGTTGGGGATAAAAACAGTCCACCCCTCAGGGTCCCCTTGAGGGGTAAGGGCTAGATAACTAAATCAGGGGAATACCGTGCCCATGGCTCCCTCAGGCCGTTCAGGACTGGCACAAAGTCAGCCTTTCATCCTTTCAGCACGGCTCTCACACCTTAGGAGATGGATAGCAGAAGGGTTTGGTGAAGGGACAGAAACAAAAGTGGGAAGGGAAAAAAAAAGACCATGCATAATTAGTTGAGTCGAGGGCTGAGTCCCAAGGTTGGGGAGTTCCCCATCATTGGGTCCCAGTCTCCGCCTCCTAAGCCCCCCCACGACAATAACGGGCAAGGGATTGGGGGGGTTGGCTTGCGAGGAAAATTGCGACAAGTGATAGAACATTTATTAAAATAATGTACTAAACACATTTAAAACAATAAAACATTAAAAGGGAGTAAAACACACAAAAAAGTAAAAACAATACAATCAATAACACAAAACCACATACAAAAAACACTAAAATAATAAATAAAGCACCAGATCACTTTGTCACAATCCGAATAAATATCAAGTCAAATGTCTCTCACAACCTATATTATCATGCTTCACAACCACGTAACTGTCTCTGGGGAGGCCCATTCCGGGGATCCCTGAGCAGTCCAACCTGTATAAAGACCAATCCACCTCTCTTTCGTACTTGCCCACATTGTTTTTTTTTTTTTGGGGGGGGGGGGCGCGAGAACCTGGGCAGTGTGGTTCTTTCATATGTTTGTAGATCAGTAAAATTAAATTAAGGTAAAATATAATAGTAAGAAACTTTGCATGCTAAAATTATTAAAATAATCATTAACGTAAAATAAATAAATAAATGATCTTATCATAAAAGAACCATTGGGGAAAAGTGGTACTTAAAAATTCAATAAAATTCAATAAATAAAAGTAGATATAATAAAAGAAATTTACTAGAAAATCTTTTGAATTAAAAATAATAAAATCTTCCGGGTATTAGAACTGGAATCAAAGAGATATAATCTTAAAATGTAAAAAAATAAATGGAATTTTTTCATCATGTTCTTATACGGTTGAGAGAGACTTGTGCCATCTATATACAAATATATTATACATTTATTTTTTTTTTAAATACCAAAAAAAAAAAAAAAAAAAAAAAAAAAAAAAACAGCGGTCCATGGCAACGCCGTCTTGCGCATCCTCCTCACTGGCGGGGTAAGTGCTCGTGCCCTCAACTTCACTGGAGGGATGGCGATTCAGATTTAAGTTGCCATAGTAAGGGGAGGTATAGAGCAGTTCCTGGCAACGTCAAACCGCGGCTTCCATTCTTGTTGACAATAGTGAAGGGCAAAACGTCGCCACGCCGCCACTCCGCCAGGACCGCGTTGCCACCCCAAGTTCGCCTTATTTTGCGTTTCGATGTAATATTTCGCCCGTGGGAGAGTTGGAGGTGAGAGATGTGTCCAGAAGGGAGTGAGACGACGAGATAGGTCTAAGTCGGTCACTACACCTCCCGCCCCCCCACCACACAACTCCCTTCCTTGTTACCTTTCTTCCCCCACCCCCTACCCTCCCGCCCTCCCACCTCTCACCCCCACCCGATTCTCACCCTCCCTCCCCCCCCCATCCGCCACTCGCCTTCCATTCCTCCCTCCCCCCACCTCTTACCCTCGCCTTCCATTCCTCCCTCCCCCCACCTCTTACCCTCACCTCTCACCCTCCCTCCCCCCACCTCTCACCCTCCCTCCACTTTCCTCCCTGGTATTACCTCTCCCCTCCTTCCCTCCCCCTCTCCCTCCCCCTACTTCACACCCTCCCTCCCTCTCTCACCCCCATCCCCAACCACCACTCACCCACCCACCCCCTTTCCTCTCGCCAGATGCGGTTCTCCTTGACTCTGCTCTGCCTGAGTGTGGCGCTGGTGGCGGTGGCTCTGCCCGAGGCGGAGGCGAGGCCGCAGTTCCTCAGCCTCTTGGAGGGCATCGCCAAAGGCATCGTTGAAGCCGCGAAGGACGTCGGCAAAGGCATCGTTGACGCCGCGACGGACGTCGACGTCGGCAAAGGCATCGTTGACGCCGCGACATCGTTGACGCCGCGACGGACGTCGACGTCGGCGAAGGCATCGTTGACGCCGCGAAGGACGTCGGCAAAGGCATCGTTGACGCCGCGAAGGACGTCGGCAAAGGCATCGTTGACGCCGCGAAGGACGTCGGCAAAGGCATCGTTGAAGCCGCGAAGGACGTCGGCAAAGGCATCGTTGACGCCGCGACGGACGTCGACGTCGGCAAAGGCATCGTTGACGCCGCGAAGGACGTCGACGTCGGCGAAGGCATCGTTGACGCCGCGAAGGACGTCGACGAAGGCATCGTTGACGCCGCGAAGGACGTCGACGAAGGCATCGTTGACGCCGCGAAGGACGTCGACGTCGGCAAAGGCATCGTTGAAGCCGCGAAGGACGTCGACGTCGGCGAAGGCATCGTTGACGCCGCGACGGACGTCGACGTCGGCGAAGGCATCGTTGACGCCGCGACGGACGTCGACGTCGGCAAAGGCATCGTTGACGCCGCGAAGGACGTCGACGTCGGCGAAGGCATCGTTGACGCCGCGAAGGACGTCGACGAAGGCATCGTTGACGCCGCGAAGGACGTCGACGTTCACGTCGTCGAAGGCATCGTTCACATCGCGAAGCACGTCGTCGAAGACATCAGTACCCATGAGGACGAGGACAATAAAGGCTTCAAGGAGGACGTCAGCAAAGGGTTCGTTGTCGTCTAGGGAGTTTATGATTTCATTTCAGGTTGAGTACCAAGTACGTTCCTCGAATCCTCTGGGAAACCGCTTTCTTTACGGTCCTTCCTTTCCCGCTGTGGGAGAGGGGAGAAGGGGTGAAGATAGATTGCAATATATAAGAGTATTTATCATTTGGATGGATAGATAGATAATTAAGGATATACATATATGTATGTGTATATATATGTGTGTGTGTGTGTGTGTGTGTATGTATATATATACACATATATACATATACATATATATACACATGTGTGTATATATATGAATATATATATATATACATGTATATATCCATATGTATATATATATCTATATATAGATATATATATCCATATGTATATATATATCTATATATATCTATATATAGATATATACAGATATCTATATCTATATATATATATCTATATGTATATCTATCTATCTATCTATATATATATATATATATATATATATATATATATATATATATATATATATATATATATATGTATAGATATATATAGATATATATGTATATATATTCATACATATATATGTGTGTATATGTATATATATATATGTGTGTATGTGTGTGTGTGTGTGTGTGTGTGTGTGTGTGTGTGTGTGTGTGTGTGTGTGTGTGTGTGTGTGTGTGTGTGTGAGTGTGTGTGTGCGTGTGAGTGTGTGTGTGCGTGTGTGTGTGTGTGCGTGTGTGTGTGTGTGTATATATGTATATGTGTGTGTGTATATGTGTATGTGTGTTTAAAGCTCACCTTCTTTCCTCAGGTCTGGTCACCACCACCCCACGGCTACGACCAGCGCTCACTGACCTGCTCAATCGTGAAAATGTTGTTGTGTTTTTTGACTAACTAATACTAATCCTATTTTTTCGATCTTCTGTGACGTCATCCTATCACCACGCCCCCTGTCGTCATCGCTTCTTTTAATGACGTCATCACGTCATTTTCTAATATCACTAACCTTAAAAAGGCTAAAAGGTAAATGGTAAAAAAAAAAGAAAAAAAATCATAAAACAAGCAAGCATCAGCAACCACGGAAGAAATTGCAAGGAATCAATGGCATTCATTCTGATTACACAGGTAGTATAAAATCTGTGAATTCGCAATTAATAATCTAATTGAATGACTATACAATGGAAGAAAAAAAAACACATACATATATACACACACACTTTGCTAAACAATAATCGTACACGTAGAGTTTGTGAAAACCTTGAGAAGCGAAAGATATCGACTCGGCGCCTATTGCAAGTAATCCGAGATGTTTTTTGTCATATACATAATTTCTAAAACGGAAAAGAAAGAAAACTCTTCCCAGGCAATTTTTTTCAAACAACGAAATAAAATTCTGAAGAAAATGGCACATGTCTTTCCGTAAGAATGCTAAGTTCGCGAGCTATATATATGGTGAGCACTATATAAACATGAATATGTTAAAATGCAAATATCTTTCGGTTAATCAATAGTTTATATCATTTTACTAAATATATTATGATCGCATATTATGGAAAAGAATTATCTATTAATCTAAAAAAAAAAAATGAATACACATGACAAGCTTTATATATATTATAAAAAAAAACATCTAAAGCTTAGTAAAAAAAAAAAATAATTCCTGAAAAATCAATTTAGTAACATATAGCAGGATATGAGCAAGGCAGGTTGAAAACAAACACACGCAATAAACAAATCATGTTTCTTAATGGTTTCGGAAATTGAAACATTTGAATATTTCCCACACAAAAAATGGAGAGATCGATATCTAATGATAATGATGATGCTAATAATAATAATGAGGATGAAAATAATAATGATTATAATGGTAATAATAATAATTATAATAATAACAATTATAATAATAATATTGATAATAATAACAATAATGATAATAACAATAATAATGATAATAATAATAATAATAATAATGTCGCTCACTAAAACTCGTTTATCCTCTTTTTACAAACAAATGTGATAGAGACTGCTTTGCCAGTAACTTTTTTTTTTTTTTTTGCATTTCTACAGTAAAATAAACTTTCAACTATAAAAAATGTCCAAGTATTTATATCCCAACCTGTCACTTTTACACTATTTGTTCTTCTAAGGTATCTTCTTTCCTTGTCTTCATCAATATCCTGGGCTCTTCCATTCTTGTTCACACCACCAGGGACGAACAAATCACAACTTCAGCAGAACCAAATAAACCATAAAAAATCAAAAATAAAATAAAACA